TGCAAATGGCAGTATCTTCTGCTGAAAATAATTTTACACCGCTCAATGTACAAGTTCCACATTTCTCTAAAAATCAAGGTAAAGATATTCGATTTCTTCCTGGTATAGAAGCGTTATTGATGATTTATTGATTAAATTTATTAACTTTTTATTTGAAGATTCTGGTCCAACTTATATTCAATTATCGTTACTTCCATCGCCATCGAATGATGTCACACATCAAACTTTTACAACATCTAATCATTTTTCCATACCGCAATCGATCAATAATAGCACTCATCATCAACATCGGCCAGTTTCTTCGTTCAATCAAAACATTAATGCAAATGGATTGTCGTCTATGGATCAACAGCAAATGACATTTTCAAATGCTGCATCATTATTACAAAACTTCCCTAATGCAGTTTCTGGTACGACAACTGCATCGTTTCTGTCTGCTTCACCATCGATTTTATCGACAAATACAAATCAAATATTAATTAATAATCCAATATCTCAGTCGGTGCGCCATCATTCAATTGACAATAATTCAATAACAACACCCGTTATTAGAGAAGTCCAATTAGAAGAAAAGACAAATGAATCTGTTATGAAAACGTCGACATTGTCAGCTACAACTCAGTCGAAACCAGGTTTGTTTCGACATGGCGGTTGAACGCAATATTTTTTTGGCTGTAGTAGTTGATAAAGTAACGTCTAAGTGTTAGCTTCACGAGAGACTTTTCGTTGTACGGTCATAAGAATAGAGAATACTTCTCGCCAGTTTCGTTTCGTTTATTGTATTTTTGAAAAAAACATTTTTATCATATTTACTTTTTCACATTTTAGTCGTTCATAAAACATCGACAAGCTCATCAACATCTAGTGGTCATCCGCCCAATAAAGGTCGACCGCGTTTGCCTTTACAACCTTCAACTCAACAAGTATCAGCCTCCCCACCAACATCAACGCTATCAGATGTAGCTACTTCTCTTGGAGTTTCACCCAACACAATATCTCAAACAACATCATCAAATAGAACGATATCACGAAAACATAAATTAACAGACGAGTAAGTGAATCCTATCTATTTCAACGTTTTAATTTAAAAATAAGATTTTTTGATTTTCAGAGATTCATTATCCGGTCAGCCGGCAGCCAAAATCGCTCATAGTGATTATCGAGAACATTATGACTCCTCCTCTCAAACACCCACACTATCCATCATGAAAAAGCCAAGAAAACAACGTTACCGTACTAAATGGTCTCTGGAAAATTCCACTCCTGTAACACTAATACATCAACAATCACTAGAAGCACTACCCGTTAATTCTTCTCATCCACCAGGTACTACATCAATTGGCGTCAATTGTTCATTAGTCAATATGAATACTGCTATAAAACGATCAACAAAAAAGAAACAGAGTATAATTGAGTCAACAACGACAATAACCATCGATAAATCAACAGAACTTAATCGTCGAAAAGTATCTAGACGACTTGCAACAGTTAATACTCAAACACCACTTCTTCAAACAACTATAAAAAAGAAACGAAGTTTACAAAAACATTCTTCTTTCACTGATAAAATTCAGGCAATCGTGACAAAAGTAAAACAAGAACCTTTGACTATAGAAGAACATCAAATGAATACTCCAAAAACATCCAGACAAAAATCAGTAGATGAAATTGATGATGAACTTTTAAAACGTTTGTCAAAAGGTGATTATATCTGGATTTCTTCTGCTTTTTCACTCGTCTTGATGTCTTGTTTCAAACTTTAGATTTCGTCTATTTTGATCAAAAAACTGGTATTAGATGGGTAGGCAAAAAATTTCGACCACATACAAATATTATTACATCTCGAGTGACATGGAAACCAAGATCTAATCATTTTGAAAAATATACCGATATCACTAAAACAAGTAAGCTATTAGCCAATGAACGAAAAAAATTACGAAATTAATATTTGTATTTTTTTGTTTTATTTTAGATCCAAAACGTACTGTTTCAATGAAAAGTTTACAAACAGTGACAAAAAAACTTGATAGTCCAGATGCTTGTTGGCGTATACATTGTCTAACAAATTATTTAACTAATTTGGTAAGAAGTTAGGAAGCCTTCTATTTGTCAGCAACCTATATATATATATATATATACAGGGTGGCTCATAAAACTACTTACTTCCGCTATATTTATTGGCTTTCTTGTGTACAAATATAACTGAACTTTTTAGCAGTCAGTTTAGTCGAGTAGAGCAAAGATTTCTGGACAAAATGTGACGTCTCCGAGCTCTCTAAGAGCTTTTCTCATAAAACAGCATTCAATTTACAGAAAGTCCCATACTACCAAAATTAGGACAATTAACGGGAAAACAAGAAAGATACGCTTTTAGGGTCTTCCGTAAATTGAATGTTGTTTTATGAGAAAAGCTCTTAGAGAGCTCAGAAACGTCTCATTTTGTCCAGAAATCTTTGCCCTACTCGACTAAACTGACTGCTAAAAAGTTCAATTATATTTGTACACAAGAAAGCCAATAAATACATACATACAATAAATACAGGGGGCAAGTCTTTTTTGAGCCACAGTTCATTCTCTATTAACATCAAATCTGCAAATAAAGTAGAGCTATGAAACTTTTGTGTGTATGGAGAATATATAAATTATAATCAAATTAGTAATCAGAGGACATTGATAAGATTTGATGGAAGATTAGTAGAATATTACAATGTACCTTGAACGAAACAATTTTTGCTAAACAATATGTTACTTTTATTTCTCTTGACTGTTTGTTTTAGACGTGTGATGAACAAGAAACAAAAAAAGAATTGTCAGATATTGCTTTGTCGCTGAATTCATTGAATATAACTGATAAAACAATTCAAAATAAAATTGAAGATCTCTTAGAAGTAAAATATTGTTGATCATCTATTTTTATTCTTACTAATGCTATTTTATCTCTATTTTAGGCCAACATTCAACGGCATCGTTGTTTCTGTGATCAAATTGGCGAAACAAAAACTATATTATTAAGCATGCTAGATCATTCAAAATTTGTTCGTGATATGTTGATTAGAACTAAAACAAAAACATCAATATCATCGTCTTCATCAACAACTGTGGCAACAACAATTAGAAGAAAAGACAGATAGCATTAGACTATTCTCATACACACACACACACACACACATACACATTTTATTAAAATCCAATAGAATATGTATGTGCTGATTTTTATTTTCTTCCATTTTTTTTCCTTTCCGAAGCGAGTGTATTTGTGTGTGTGTACGCACTTGTACACGATATACTTTAACAAAAAAAACCTATGAAATAAGATATTTTCTAACAGTTAAATACTGTCCTACCGGTGTTCATTAATTACATGTATATAACATATACCGGTACGTGTGTGTGTGCATGTTTGTGCTCACCGCTTATTTTGGTCGGTTATTTTATACAACAAAATTAGCCTCCAAATATGGATTAAAAAAGCAAAATATCAAATGTAAGTTTAATCTTAACATTAGTCACATCTAAGTCTTCTTCTCTAGGTGACACGAAAAGGTATGAATTTTAGTCGTTCTGAAAAAGCCACATTATGTTTACTTATTTTTTATACCTACTTCTCTTTCATTCTAGAATTAATGTGGTGTTATTATCATCGAATATAGTATTCTGCTTAATAAACATGAAACTGACAACGATAATTAACAATTACCAATTATTGTTGTTGTTAGCGGTGTAGTTAGTACGCTTGAGTTTATTTGTTGTTTTCCTTTCATTCTCTATATGCAATAAGTGGGACAACAACGAAACAACACCGATCAGATAGAAATCTATTCGAATTTAGAGCACGATTCAAAGTTTCCTCTTTGCATTTAGTCTACTGTTATTTTTCCATTCCATATGGCTGTTTGTTTTCTTCCTTCGAACATCTTTCTTCTTGACCTTCTCTTTCTCTCTCTCTCTCTTTTCGAGCTTTTTTTAAACATTTTTCCATTTGTTTTTTTGAAGTTTTATGGTTTTATTTTTGAACACAACATACTCATATACATATAGACACACGATCAATAATACCACTCAATAAAAACTCGAACGAATAGGCAAAAAGATCGTGAAAACAGAAACTGTCAACTTTTTTCTGTGTCCTAGAACAGTTCTAACCTATTGTTCATTAAGTATGTAGCTAATTCTCAATAGCATATACTGTTGCTTTCGTTGTATTATGTACACACACGTGCTCTCTTTCTCTCTCTTTCTCTCTCGTCTATGGTGTAAATATCTTTCGCTATTTTGTCACCTATGTGGGTTTGTGTTTTAATATTACTGTTTGTGTTATTTAAATCTTTGACAACAAAATATAAAATTCATTGTGTGAGAGAGTGCGTATAATACGTATAAATATGATTTTTTGTCTTTCATACGTATCCAAATGTTTGTATATAATCTATAGATATGTTTTTGTTGTCTATTTCGTTTTTTTTTTTCTGTTATTATTATTATTGTTGGCACTGAACAATAAAACAAAAAATATAGAAGAATAATTACATATAGGAATATATATGTAACATAGTTAAATTGAAACTTTTCCTATTTAATAAACGATCTGAAATGTATTTCTTTTTAAAAGAAAGCAATTTAGAATTATTTTATGACTAATATAAAGTCTAACATTGGGATGGATTAGTTTTAAAAAGTGTCTTATTCCATTTAAAGATCACGATAATTGTTAACAAATACATATTTAAAGTTACACAGTCAACTAGACGGTCATTCTAGAGAAAATATGTCAAAATCTTCCAACAATGTTACGTTTAAGTCAAATAATCTAGCGGATCGACAAATCGATATATCAAAAATATTTTATTTTGAATTTATATAAAAAATATTTTATTGATCATGTCAAACATAGTCTTTTGTTATATTAAACGTAAATGTTTTTTTTCATATATTTCTAAAAATTGTAAAAAGAAAACATCTAGGAATAATTTTACTCTTTACAGATTGTACACAATCAAATTATGAGTGAAAACAGGTATCAATCGTCTGATATGTACACTATTACTATTACTGATGGAATTCCGCAAAATTCAAGGTATACAATAAGCACTAAACAACTAGCAAATTCTTTATTTAAACACAACATATTATGATATTGTTGTTTTATGTTTAGCGAAGAACGATATCTTCAATTGATGGAGAAGTTTCAACAACTGTATGGTCAACACGCATCTTATATATGTCGTGCACCTGGAAGGGTGAACTTAATAGGTTATTACTTCTCATTTTAACTTTTTTATAACTATTTTACTAACTGAAAATTCTAAAAAAAAAGTAACCTATTTCTAGGTGAACATATTGATTATTGTGGTTATTCGGTTTTTCCAATGGCGATTGATCAAGATATTGTTGCTCTATTTTCTATTAATCATAAAGATCACGAAATAAATTTACAAAATTCGGATAAATCGTATAGGTATGTAGCTGGATCGTTTGTTAGTTAACGTAAAGTAACAATGTCATTCTATTCATAGTGAATCAAAATTTAATACTGAACAATTTGATATTAGAAAACAATTTCCATTGTGGGATGATTATTTTAAATGTGGCGTCCAAGGAATTCGGGATAAATATCCAAATACGAAACTAAAAGGTATGTAAATAAAGAATAGGGATGTTTTTTGAATTATTCCACACAGGACTATGAACGAATGTTTCTCAACAATATTCTACCTTTTGTTATTGTACAAAGTCGATATATTTAATTAATCATACAATCTTCTTGATTCACACGTGAAATACCATCGATTACACGCTTTCGCTAATTGTTTCCTTTGTAAATGATTTGTACAAATGTGATGACCACCAATGAAAAGCTCTTGAAAATCTGAAAATCAGATATGACCTGAGTGACATTCTTTAAGACTAAACTTAAAAAATCCTCAGATTTGTAATCCATCTCCGTATGATCTTAGAATTATTTCAACCCATTTTTCCCTGTACTTAAACACGATTCGACTTTTAATTTGGTACTGTTCGATAGAACTTTGTACGAGCTACAACATATGTTCAAACCACATTTCTACTCTCCTGACAGCATCCTTGAGAGCCTTTTCAATTAATGACATCATACATAGTCTACTGCAAGTCACTAATTTAATCTACGTTTTTATTCATAACATAGTAGTTTACGTAGAATATGGATACTGTTTGATGTACTTTTTTTAATCTTATAGTAGTCTACTTTATTAACTCTAAAATAGAAATGGTATTCATTCGAAATAAGTAGAATTCAATTATGTTAGATAAAGTATAAAAGTCTCTTCTTTCTGTTCTGTGCACAAACACGAGAAATGAAATGTTCATCCGCTATTACCGGTTTTGATATTTATACTTTCAAATGTTCAAAGTTAATAGTCTATTTTGAATATTAGTAACGTGTTCGAAGACATTGACTATGTTTCTATGGATTTGAAATATACTAGTTATTTAAACAAAATAAAAGATAGAGTATTGAGTATTGTTGAGAAACATTCGTTCTATAGTCCTGTACGGAAAAATTCAAAAAACATCCTAGTGGACTGATTTTGTGTAAAATACATCTATCCTTTATTTACATAACGGATACACCAGATAAAATGATGCCTTTTTTCAAACATTTTTTTCCAGTGTTATTCATCAACTAATAATTTACGAATAAGTTCATTCGATCAAGACTATTTTCTGTCAACATTAAAGCAGTTTTGTAGAGAATGGTATTCTACATGTTTTTGTATAAGAAAATAGAACTTTAAAATAGAATTTGACTTTTGATTTGGATCTTCAGATTCTTTCATTTAAACCAGAAAAACATTGTCAAAATCAGTTTTTGCTCTTCGAAAAGCAACAACAAACTGTTGAAGATTGATCGATAGTGCAGAAAATTCTTTATTCTTCTTGCTAAAAAAATTTATTATTCACAGATATTCTTATTCGATACAAAATTTCGTCACCATATCTTGCCATACTAAGACTATTTTACTTTGCTATATTCTACAACAACAAAAAAAGACTAGAAAACATGTTTGACAAAAGTGCTTTATTTAGTGTGCTGATTCATATCTTATGAACGTTATTTTTTAAAGGAATGAACATTTTAATTGATGGAACAATACCTAGAAGTGCCGGATTATCAAGCTCAAGTGCTTTAGTTGTTTGTGCTTCTCTAACTACGGCAATTGCTAATAATATAACAATTGAAAAAGTAAGTTATAAACTAATTTTAATGTACCATTAATTTTTTTGCTTTATAATTAGAATGATTTGGCAGAATTATGTGCTGAATGTGAAAAATATATTGGTACTCAGGGTGGAGGTATGGATCAAGCAAGTTCGTGTTTAGCTCGAACAGGTTCGGTAAGTTTATTTTTCATCTTAAATTTGTTGTTATTTTTATCTACTTTTAATGTTAAGGCTATGATGATTAGTTTCAATCCGTTGAAAGTTGTTCATGTTCTTCTCCCGGTTGGTTGTGCATTTGTTGTTACTCATTCATTAACAGAAATAAACAAAGCTGCTACAGATCATTTTAACACAAGGGTAGTTGAATGTCGAATTGGTACACAAGTAAGTATTTAACGGGTGGCGCAAACATAATAGGGCAATTTTGTTTTCTATCTTTGAGGCACTTAATAATCGTTTTAAAATCTGGTTCTAAGATCATTCGATAGAGAATTCATTTTTCTACAAAACTGTCGAATGCGGTTGTCAAATTAGTCTTTCTTGTAGGCGCAAAAGTTCAAAGATTAACACCTACTCAATAGTCCATCTGCGAATTCTTATTTTTTCCGAATATCAATCGATTTGTTTAAGCGTATGCTCATCAAAACCGATGCTCAAACTGAAGTATTTAACATCAATAGATGGAGAATTTTGTGCTCTATACTTCCACGACCTTTTCAAGGCTCTTGGTGCCCTTGTTCACGAGAAAAAGGCTTCGAACTAACACCTCGTGCAATTTTTGGACGCATTTCAGAGAAGAATGTTTTCTAAGATAGACTTGTCATATGAAACGCTGACTCGCGTACCGTCGTATGCAGATTCTAATTCAGGACAAAATGGTATAAATTATGACTTCAACATTGAAATCATTTTGGCTATTTCGAATTAAAGGGAACAATGTCATAGGTCTGTCAGGAAATAAGTTTTTTTAGTGTTTTCATATTTTCCATTTCAAAATTTTTCCTCTCAAATATTTCTTCTAAATTTTTGAAAATTACATAGAAAGATGCAGAATTTTATGTAGAATTTCGTGGCACACTTAACATTTTAGCAGAATCGTTTAAAAATATTCCCATACATTTTTTCGTTTTTTTAGTATTCGCAGATGGACTTTGGAGTAGGTGTTAATCTTTGAAGTTTTGCGCCTACAAGAAAGACTAATTTGACAACCGCATTCGACAGTTTTGTACAAAAGTGAATTCTCTATCGAATGAGCTCAAAACCAGGTTTTAAAACGATTGTTAAGTACCTCAAAGGTAGAGAACAAAAGTACCCCATTATTTCTGCGCCACCCGTTACATCTAACACTTATGTACGAATAAGTAACATTTTACATTTAGATTTTAGCTCAATCTAAAGGTTTAGATTGGAGAAAAATTCGAAAACCGTTTGAATTACAAGAAGCATTAAAATTATCATTATCGGATATGGAAAAATTTGCCGTACAAACATTTCATTTAGAACCTTATACGGTTGATGAGATATGTGCACTATTAGGTGTTACCGTTCATGATTTAATTGAAACAAGCCTTGGTCCAAATACGAAACACGGTAAATACTATTCAAATAGATATTTATTCCTACTCGAAATTCTAATTTTATATTTTTAGTTCAACAATTTGAATTACATAAACGTCTTCGTCATGTTTTTTCTGAGGCAAATCGTGTTTTATTATTTAAACAAGTATGTGATTCGACGGTGCATGATGAACAATCATTACACACATTAGGAGAATTAATGAATCAAAGTCATTATAGTTGTAGTAAATTATATGAATGTAGTAGCAGTGAACTGGATGAATTAACAGCAATATGCCGGTAGGACAGTGTCTACAGTTATTCAAATAATTGTTTTCATTTTGTTAATGTTTATTTTCTAGGGAAAGTGGAGCGCTTGGATCGAGATTAACGGGTGCTGGTTGGGGTGGATGTGCCGTTTCATTGGTACGACAAGATAAACTAGATATATTCATTAAAACAGTGAAAGAAAAGTTTTATGATAGCAATACACAACGTGCTAACAAAGGACAACAGAGTATATTTGCCACATTACCGGGTTGTGGTGTTTACGTTGTTAAATTATGAACTTTTTAATCTTTAAATAATTTTATTATGGAACATCTACACGCAAATTCTGATATATTGAGTCATTTTTCTTTTAGATTTGTTTTCTAGTCATGTTTAACAATTATTTTTATGTTTTCTTTATTTATTTGGTTAATTTTAAAGGTTATCCAAAGTTTTCAACTCTAAAAAGTTTTCTAATATCTTTAAGGCGCTCCAAATTCGAACATTGAGCACTATTCTATTTTCACTTCAAATATGTATCATTCGATAGGGAATTTCATGCTGATTAAGAATATGTTACTTTAACGTTTTTTAGTGTGTATATTTTTTTCTGAATCAGGTGCGAAAAAATCGGAATTCTGCCCGTAATTCTCTACTTTCTCCATCAGAACTCATTTCTTATACAATAAAAATATCATATTCGGAGTAAGCGTCGAAAACCGATTCAAATGATATATGTTTCGAAATTTTTCGTTGATTTTCAGTTTTGGATGAAAATCTCAGTAATTTTTCGACGTGAAAATTCGAAAAAAATAAAGGTGGTCGGATAGAGTAAAAAAAATGTATCATTCGGCTCAGTTTTCGACGCTAACTCCGAATATGATATTTTTATTGCATAATAAATGAGTTCTGATGGAGAAAATAGAAAATTACGGACAGAATTCCGATTTTTTTGCTCCTGATTCAGAAAAAATGTACTTTCTCAGGAACGAAAAAAAATTTTGAAAAACTTCATACTTTTGTTCTAAACTAAACGGCGAAGCGAATGGCTTATAAAACTTGTCTCTACCTCTTAACCAAAAGGCTGCACGTGGCTTGCAAGATAAGTAAAAGGTGTAGATGAAAAGCGACGCTCCCAGAAGAAGTTATTGTTTTATCTGGAACCTTCAAGTATACTTTTCTAGATGCAGTTTTAGACGCTAATTAAGAAAAACACCTTTGTGAAGCTCCAAATCCATTTGAAACGGAATTACACCAGTTTTAAAAAAAGTTAGCGGATTTTCGAAACGAGAGTCCCTCTCAGTATTTTGAATTTTTCGCGGTGATAAAGCGCACTGAAAAATTCAAAGTAACGTATTTTTAATCAGCATGAAATTCTCTATCGAATAATGCATATTTGAAGTGAAAATACAATAGTGCTCGATGTTCGAATTTGAAGCGCCTTACTTTGATGAAAATATACTTATTCAATAAGTTCTAAATGTCATACAAACGTCGAAAAAAAAGAATAGATAGATTTGAATGTCTAAATTCTACAATATATTTTGAAAAACTGAATTTTCGTACTAAACTAGAGTCTAGGACTTGTCTCTTGTATAAATATGTTTTATGAAAAAAAATATTTTATGTTGTTTGGATGTGTCATTTACTAATAATCCTACTAATCTGGTACAAAATATTTTTCATTTAGTCAAAAATAGTCGAGCTATGTAGAATAAAGAGACTAAATTTTACGATGTTAAAACGATTCTATACTGTAATGAGTTTCAAGCAATTGTTTGTCAATAATAGTTTAAAGAATATTTGCGTTCTACACTTCATAAAAAGGATTTTTCTTTTTTATCAGAGAAAAGAAACCGTTTATTGACAATAGACGTGTTTGTCATTCAAATGCATGTAAATGCGGCACATAATCATATATTTATGTATCAATAAAAGACACATTTAACACTCCTTGTGGAATAACATACGTATTTTCTAATTTATATGTGGTATTTTAAACGGAAAAATTTGAATGAAATTTTTAAAATTTTTGTTATTATTATTCGTTTTTATTAATAATTCAATTATTAACACATTACAGGAAAATTTTCACAAAGAGTGGAATATTTTTCTTGGTAAGTTTTAAGTTTATCAAAAATAAAATAAATTGTGTGACATAAATTATTTGTCCCTATTGACTGTCTCAGTAAAATAAAGATTATTTTATTCTAGAACCCAATGAACTTATAATCAATTCAATAGGTGAAGGAAATCTATATTGTAGTCAATATTCCTCACACGACGATAAACCACTGAGAGCAGCATTTTCAACTACTATTGATCCTAATTTATTACAGCTTGATGTTAAAAAACTTAATTCTTCCACCATTCTTATTCATATTAAATCTAATGGATATGTTGGTGTCATAAATCTAAATTGTTATGTGGAAAACAATGTATCATACGGAAGTACAGCAGATATCATTGTGGGAGGTTGGAATTAATTCCATCAGTTATTCTATAATAACAAAGACAAATGTGAGTATTTTTTATTCTAGATAAACCTGGTAGTATTTCTCTTAAAGAAAAATGTATTGCATACGATCGACAATATGTTGAATGTATTATTAATGCTCCAATAGCAGCTAAAGCATTTAAAAATAATTTTCGTCCACTCTATGAATTTAATGAAACTGCGGAGTAAGATAACATAGAAAAAGGTTTTGAATACTATTCACAGTTTCATACTTCGCTTCAACTTTTATAGTTCAAAGTATCATGTTTACATTAATAATCCAGAACTTGTTAATATAACAGAAGATAGTCTGATATTTCGTTTATGGCCAAAAACTCGAAACATTATTCCAGACTCAGTTCTAATGAGAATCAATCTTACAATTCAAAAATTTAATTCATCAGAGTATATAATGAGAATTGAACCAGGTGGGTCGAGTCAAAAACATTTACGATAATTATAAAACAATGAATTATACCGCTTTTTAGTTTACTATTGTAGTACACTCAACTAAAGTTGATTTTAAATTCGAATCAAAAAAGGCTAATAGTATTGTACTTAATCTCGATACAAAGGGCATAGCGAATGAAAAGCGTCTCTGTATGGGTACAGTAACAAAAACATCCAGTTCAACTCCTGATCAAGTATCTAACCATTTTTTATCAGTAATGAATTCTATACAGTTTATAACTTGTATTCACAGGTTCTAGATGAGAAGAGCAATGAAACGATTCCTATAAAAAATTTAGTTCCATCAACGGAATATCGTGTTTGTCTGGCATGTCGTTATTTAGTAGATCGTGACTATAGTAAAGAAACTTGTCATAACGCGACAAGTAAGAGTTTGTTTATATTTTATTCTTAACTTTATCACTGTAGAGTAACACTATCTTCTAGCATCGGATAAAGGCAAACTGACAGTCTGGATAATCTGTTTAATCATTTTATTACTGTACGTAATGTTAAAAATGAATATTGTTTATTTTTAAACTTGTGAATCCACATATGTCTTTTGTTTCTATTTTAGCATCGGTATAGTGATTTCTATTTTCATACTGCTAAGAGTAGTACTAAGGCGAAGGCAGACAGTAAGTTATTAGTGGTGAGTTTAATTATTTCTTCATTGCACAGAAAAAAACCTGTACACCTTTGTTTGAGATTTAAACTGGTACCAGTACAGCTACATCAATTCTGTCATCATGAATTTCTTGAAACATGTTACAGAAAATCAAAATCGAAAATTCCCAAAATTTTCTAACCAGGACTCACTGCTGTCGAAAGCGATGGAGTTTTTCGTAAACGTCCTTAAAACAACCGAAAATCGAGCTACATAAAAGTAAAATTTGTGGTATTTATATGGATGGCTCTTGTGTCGTTAGAATCTACTGACCTTGGACTATTGAAGTCTGAAAGCAGATTCATCTTTTTGGATATCGCTGCTTCCTAGCAAAAATTTGCTAACGTATCCGAAAAAGTTGAAGATGAATCTGCCGTAAATCTGCTTTCAGACTTCGATAGTCGAAGATCAATCACTAGATCCTAACGATACAACAGCCCTCGAATTCGAGAGACATCGAACAAAAGAATCAACTTTTAATTACAGCCTCATTTGGTTTTGGAGACACTTTTGAGTTCCATTATATCTCAGATATAATGCACGCACGCATACGGCATTTGTTTTTGTACATGCTTGTGACTATAGTTAGTACTCGACCTCAACTACTTATGCTCTAGGTATGAACTCTTGTACTACTTTCTAGACCAAAATATAAACGCCACAAATTTTACTTTTATGCAGTTATCGTTTTCGGCTGATTTTAGGACTTTTACAAAAAAACTCCATAACTTTTGACAGGAGTAAGTTCTGGTTAAAAAATTTTGAAAATTATGTGAAGGTCGGACATTGGATTGACACTAGTCTTTTCTCACTTGATAATTTGAATATTTTACAATCAACTGTCCTTCAAAATTATTAGCTATTTCATACTAGTTTCTCTTTTATCTAGCATCTTCAAAAGAGTTCAACAGATGACCCGCCCGTCACTAAACCACTAATGGACGAGATCGATCCAAATCAGGCTAGTATAATCTTTTGACATTTTTAGTTAAAGTAAACCCACTTTGATGATGATGATGCGAGAATAAAAGCATTTCATATATATTATATGAGATGATGCAAGAATTATATGAAGGTCGAACATTGGATTGCCACTAGTCTTTTCTCACTTGATAATTTGAATATTTTACAATCAACTTTTCTTCAAAGCTATTAGTTATTTCATACTAGTTTCTCTTTTATCTAGGGTCTTCGAAACCCTTTAACAGTTGGATCGCCCGTCACTAAACCACCCATGGACGAGATCGGTCCAGATCAGGCTAGTATAATCTTATGACATTTTTAGTTAAAGTAAACGCACTTTGATGATGATGATGATGCGAGAATAAAAGCATCTCATATAAGAGAAAATAGCTATCTACTATAATATATTGATATTTTATTTTAGTGTCCAGACACACATCCTAAATATTTAACTGTGGTAAGTGACTGATCAATGCATTTTAGTGAATGCACTAAAAAAACGAGTATTTAAATACTGAAAAAGTCTCTACATAGTACCTATTTAAGTACCAACGAAAATTTTTTAGTTCATTTTCACTCAATGGAATATGTAAAAACTAAAAAGTTTCACACCAGTGCTTATTCACACTTAAATTATCTTTTTGTTTGGCGTCACTAGTTTTTTTCATCTCCAGAAAAATGCAAGCCTTGGAAACTTGGATTTTCCCATGAATACTAGTG